AGTGAAAATTATTTCTTTAAGCACCCTTTCATTCAGTCCATCCCAATAAATTTATACACACACTATTATACCATCTATCCAGCATTAGTTTCTATACGATGTCATCCAGTAAATGCTTAACGATTCCCTTCACGTCGATCCATCCCGTATATGCCTTATCTATCCTTCCACACCTCATCAACCAGACTATTCGGTATGGTTCCGTCCATTCATAATCAAACCCCCTTCAACTTTTTCATTTCCAGTCATTGCCTCCATATGTCGTTCGTTTAAGCATCCCACTTTTTCTCCTACATCCTGTCGATACCTTCCATATCCTCAAGCCCTGTTAAAATCTATCAGATTTTTCTCCGTTCCATTGTAGAAGAGTCTAATAGTCCATTGCGATTTTTAGTGCCGAGATAAGGTACTCAGCATTAGTGCATTAAAATTTTCTTAAACATTCTTTCCTTTTTACAAGGAAACGTGATATATGGGCAGAGAGTGCAATGTGATTATAATCAATTTAAGGCACGAAAAGGATCAGTTAGAGAGGTTGGGTTATACGTTGAACTATATTACGTTAGTTTCGATCAATAAATTGATATGACCTAGTCCAAGAGCACATGTAAAATTTATGCCAATCACTTTTAAGTCAGATGGGGCCAGAAGGCGTATATAATTTTAAAGTTAGTCAGGGTGCTTTCACTCACATTGTAAAAATTTAGTTAACACGATCTCCGTAGTACAACCAAATGAATCATTCATACGATTGTCATCAGAACGTTAATTGAGAAGGAAAACTTACTAAGACTGCACAGGCTGGTTCTTACAACATTGTGTGTGAGAACGATCTCACTAAGTCTGTTTTGTTACGCATTGGCCCTTATTGACACTTGCAAATTGCACCTAATTTGACTAAATAATTATTGGACAAAATAAATTGTCTTGATTGTACACATCCGGCCAATCAGTCTGGTAATACAGATTAATTATAGACATTTTATTTTCACATAGAAAAATTGGGGCAAATTTAAAAATATTTATAGATGCAAAGTTTATTATCAGAACATTTTTAAATTAACCGTAGACAGGGGTGGGCTTGTAGCTAGGCTGGTAGGCTGGGTACTGGGCCTCACCCTGGTATTCAACTTGAGCAATGTAGCCGGAGTCACCGTTCACAGTGTAGGAAACCCTCTGCAGTCGACCGTCGGGAAGCTGGACATAATAGGATCCCTGAGTATCGTATCCATTACGAGCTTCGTCTTGACCGAAATCGTTACCAGAGTTGGCGTCCTTCACCAGCCAGTTAAATTTGTACTGAGGAACACCCTGGGTGGTAAAATATATATATATATATATATATATATATATATATATATATATATATATATATATATATATATATATATATATTTATTTATTTATTTATTTATTTATTTAATTGTAATTGTTTTATGGATCTTGATGTAGAAATCTGTTTTTTTCTGAATTTAGAAATATAAATAAGTTGCTAATAGATAAAGTTGTAAAAGTATCTGAATCTCATACGTTCTCGGTGTAATTAAAATATAAAACATTACTTAGAACGTAAACAATACAACTACAAAAGAAATAAAAAGGAGAACGAGTCTAGAAGTACTCTGCTTGTATAATATGAGTACTTACGGAAGGTGCTGGAGCACTATAGGAGGGGCGAGGAGCGTTGTAGGAAGGTGGAGGGTTGTACGAGGGACGAAGCTCGGCTGAGGCGACAACCAGAAGGGCAGCCAGGAGAAATACCTGCAAGCACAAAATTATAAAAATGATTCACAGTGAAACACTACATATATTTTCATCATATTTACGGACAGTATGTTCCATAAAACTGGGTAAATCACTAAATGGGTTGTTACAATTCACCTTAAAAGCCATGTTCAGCCGTGAGGGAGGAGCGAGACTGATGTGCAGTGATACACACGCATGGTTTATATAGCAGAGGCTAATCAGATCTTGTCATGAAGACTGACACAAGAGGGAAAGCATGAGAGAGACCTTGACACTGGCAGCAGTTACCATTAGACCTTCACCTCCTTCACACCTTCCCCAGGAGGTATAATAGAACGTAGTGGGTGAGGATTAGTCCTCTTATACATATTCATATATAAGTATTTAGCTTAAATATTTCAGATTCTTTAGTAGGAAATCAATCAATAAAAATAGACAATGATAATGGGATAGCGTTTGTTTCTTTTCTAAATTTAAGCAAAATAATTTTTAAAAATATCTTCCCAAATTCGAAAATTATATAAACACATACACACACACACACACACACACACACACACACACACACACACACACACACACACACACACACATATACACACAAAATGGATTCATCTACATTTTATCAAATCTTAATCTATCTTTCGGTAATCTTCTACAATGAGTTTCTTGTGTTAATAAATTTGCAACGAGACCAAAGAAAAATCAGTGAGGAGAAACTGATGATGGTAAATGGACCAAGAAGATGAAACAAACAAGAGTAAACTTAAAGAAAGGCGGAAAGTGGGTACAGGAGAACATGATATGACGATAATGACAAATGTGTTCTAGAAATACAAGGAGATATTTCATTAGCACTTTTAGAATACTAAAGACATCCTTGTTAAACAAGCGGTGGAAATATGCTTTATACATAACTCTGACACTAGATATGACAGAACCTGTTAAGAGGCATAGCCAGGAGCTGAGACTTGATTCTTGCAGCAGAAATTGGTGAATACAAACAGGTGTGTATACACACTTATGCGCGCATATACATATATTAAGAATTTGTAGCGTTTACCATTGTTTAGAGGTGAGTATTCATGATGCATGACTTTTAAATTCCTTCTTTCCTCTCCTCCGTTATCCCCTAAATTCCTCTTGTCATCCATTAAATCTAATTCTATCAGTGTTTACCTCTCTGTTTGCTATTATTTCGTATGTCCCTCTCAACCCCTTAAGTTTCTGCAGTCCTTCCTTTCTATCTCTCCATTCTATTAGCATTATCCCTTCCATGACACGTCATGCTCTCCATCCTCAACTATCCCTCTCTGCTCTGCCATTCCCTTCCTTCCATTCTACCCTTCCACTCCAAATTATCCTGGTCATCTACGATGGATCACTCCAAGCCTCACCATTCCTGTCAGCGAAAATTACTTCTATAAAAACACTTTCATTCCTTCCACCTCTATCAATTCCTCCACACCCCATTTTACTGTCTATCCAGCATCAATTTTCATACAATGTCATCCTGTAACTGCACAATGTTTGCTTTTTGACATTCACTCCCGTATATCACTGATCTATCATTCTACATCTCATCAACCAGACTATTCAACATGGTCCCGTTCATTCATAATCAAACCCCCTTCAACCTCTTCATTTCCAGTCAATACCTTCATTTATCGTTCGTTTATGAATCCCACTTTTTCCCTACATCCTCTCAATAACTCCAATATCCTTAAGCCCCCCTAAACTTTTATCATATGCTTCCCTGTCCCATTGTAGAAGAGTCTGGTAGACTATTTTTATGTTTGGTGCCTAATTAGGGCACTCAGCATTAGTGCACTAAAAATTTTGTAAACGTTAGTTCTTTTATACATGGGAACGTGATATATAGGCTGTGCAGTGGGATTATAATAATTAGGAATACGAAAAGGATGGGTTAGAGAGGTCGGGTTATTCCTTGAACTGTATTACATTAGTTTGTGAACAATAAATTAACATGACAGGTAAAAATAATTCCAGTCACCCGTAAGTTAAAAGATGGGGCCAGTAAGTGAGACGCGGACCTGAACACACACATACAACTGGGTGTGGGTGGGTGTGAGTTGGACCTGACTAGCTTGTGCTACAGGGTCTGGTGCAGTGCTCCATCCTTGAGTGGAGATGATCAGACTGGGTGGCTCATTGGGCTAATCCGGGGGGAGACATGGACCTGCTCCGCATGGGTCAGTAGGCCTGTTGCAGTGTCCCTTCTTTATGTTCTTAACTGCATGGTTACACACTTGAAGATTTATAGAGGAATAAAATATTCACTGAAGGTGTAAATTAAATGATTACAAAAATTGTCTGTTACAATATACAGAAAAATGTATGAATAGAAAAAAAAAAAACTCAGAACGAATATTAAGACAACCAGGAAATAGGTTTCGATCGAATAAGGTGAAATACTTTGGCGTCTGAGTAATACACACAGAGGAGCTAAAGTAACGACACCGCATCATTTCTCATTACTACTTAAGAGGTAATAAGCAACATAAAGCAATTGGACAGGAATGAGATACGAGGGAAAAAATTGCCGGGGGGGGGGGGGGGACGTACCAAATAAGTGATACCTCACAAAGGAATGAATGAGAAAACTAATCTTTAAATATAACGCAACTTATCTTCAACTGCAAAGGTAAACTGAATAACATTGGCAGTGAATTTCGGATTTTCAAATGTATGAATAAGATTTAGACATTTAAACAAAGAAACGTATGAAAATAAGAGTTTATCAATAGGTTTGCAAAACCATACTAGGCAGGTCTTTCTCAAACCCTTCAATTTCCATTCATATTTTTTTCAAACCGAATTTTAAAGCTAATTAGGTGATTTAATTCACTCCATGTAAAAATTAAGTTAACGGGTACTGTTATCAGAATGTTACTTCGAACTGAGGAGGAAAATTGACTAAGACTGCACAGACTGGATCTTACAACATCGTGTATGAGAAAGATCTCACTAAGTCTGTTTTGCTACGCATCGTCACTTATTGACACTAATTGCACCTAATTTGACTAAATAATTATTGGATACAAAATATAAATGCTTGATTGTACATACATGTATCTGGTGAATTATGTTTACCAGTAATCTGTGAGTTGTTTCTTTTACATAATATATCTCTTGGAATTTAATAGTCTGTTTATAGATATTTTTATATTTAAACATCTAGGTAAACTAAAAAATATGTATAATTGCAAGTTTAATATTTATGCATGTTTATATTAACCATAGACAGGAGCGGGCTGGTAGCTGGGGGTGGGCTTGTAGCTAGGCTGGTAGGCTGGGTATTGGGCCTCACCCTGGTATTCAACTTGAGCAATGTAGCCGGAGTCACCGTTCACAGTGTAGGAAACTCTCTGCAGACGACCGTCGGGAAGCTGGACGTAATAGGATCCCTGAGTATCGTATCCATTACGAGCTTCGTCTTGACCGAAATCGTTACCAGAGTTGGCGTCCTTCACCAGCCAGTTGAATTTGTACTGAGGAACACCCTGGATAATGTGAAAAAGGAGTGTTAAACTGTAATTAGTCTTCATAATTTATATTTTATATACATCCCATCATCTATATTTATATGTTCATGTCTTGCTAATGTATAAAGTTATTATTATTAATATTATTATTATTATTATTATTATATATATATATATATATATATATATATATATATATATATATATATATATATATATATATATATATATATATATATATATATAATGTCGTGCCGAATAGGTAAAACTTGCTATTTTGGCTTTATTAGCAACGCTCTTCTTGCCAAATAAAGCAAGCAAAAATTTGTGTATGCAATAATTTCGCAAAAATAATTCTGAACCTAACGAAAAAAAATTATTTCATTGTGTTTGTTTATGATTAAATTATTGTAAACTTATCTAAAATGCATTTAGTTGGATTAGGCTAAATTAAATTGCGCTTGTTATAATAAGGTTAGGTAAGTTTTTTAAGGTTCTTTTGGTACAAAATTATTAATTATTACATTAACATAAACGAAAAATATATCTTTAAACATATAAGAGAAAACTTTAGAAAGGACTTAATTTAAAATGAGTTCTTGCTAATTAGCCAATTTCTCTTTCCTGCTTTTTTATTACGAGTACTTACTGAAGGTGCTGGAGCACTATAGGAGGGGCGAGGAGCGTTGTAAGAGGGACGAAGCTCGGCTGAGGTGACAACCACAAGGGCAGCCAGGAGGAATACCTGCAAGCACAAAATTATAAAATTTGTATTAGCGAGGCACGACACATTTTGTTCATCCTAATCTTCAACAACTTGTTTTGTTTTTAGATCACGGTAAATCACTAAAGGCTCTTATATTTAGAGTTCACCTTGGAGGCCATGTTTATTTGTGAATGAAGAGTGAGACTGATGTGTGCTGTGATACAACCGCACGGTTTATATATCAGAAGCTCCTCAGATATTGTCGTGAAGACTGACACAAGAGAGAAAGCATGAGAGAGACCTTGACACTGGCAGCAGTTACCACTGGACCTTCACCGCCTCCACACCTTCCCCAGGAGGTACAACAATAGTCACGACGTGACATGAGGTCGTTGAACTTCTTGCTCTATTTGCCCACTGATGAATCTTTCATATATTCTCTTGTGCAGTTTGCATTTTTGGTTCATTTTTATTCTTTTTTAGAACGGTGATGCTCTGTTAAATATTAACACAACCCCCGCTCTGTTAGATACACAAGTACTTGCTGTGTTGGATGATAACACCACTACCTGCTGAGTTATGATGTTACGGATGATGCATCTTAGGGTCAGGATACTACCTATTAAATTATGCTTGTGTACAGGCAAATTTGTTAATATAGTAAAATAGGTAAAAGTAAATCGCTGGAAATCATACCTTAGCTGGAAAATGCTTCATCTGATCGTCTTCAAACTTCCAACACCATTGTGGTTTCTTAAACCCAAGGTTTCCGCTGATATTCGATATCCTAAGTCTCAAATTGCCAACTTTATTAAATTACTAATATTCTGATCGCCTTCAAATTGTTATTGCTGTATTCTGTGAGGACCGATGATCTAAAATTTTAACCTGGGAAGATGCCAATTTGAAATTGTACTGAAATCCTTGAAAAATTTCGAAATCATTGGAATCATATATTTTACTGGATAATGCCTTTTCTGGTAGGCTTCAAACTTTTCTTGAGATAATTTCCAAGTGTCACATCCAATTAATTTCAGCCTTTCAGCTGTGTTAACTTGATAATGCAACTTCTGAGCGGTTTCAAGCTTAATGTCCTTGTAAATTTTGGGATATTGAACTCTTTGTAAGTTTTGAATTAGATTTAGGCTTTATTTATCCATATTTACCTTTTTTATATAAAGAAATTTGTATATTAGTTTCCATGTGACTACTTGTGAGTGCCTTTTTTGACTCTTCTGATCCTCAACACCAATATCTAACTTCATTATAAACCTGTGCCGCATTTTGAGATATTGAGGCACTGGGCTATGCAATGGGGGGACCTATTTTGGATCATGAAAACCAAAACACATCTAGTTTGTATAGTATTCTATACCACCTCACATGACCCTATGTCTCAAAATCACATTCTTCCCTGATGATTTCATGACAATAATCTCAAGCGGGATTATTACAGACTTTCTGTAATTGCATTTTTCTTCACTTCAAATAAACGAAGAGATGCCGTATGTGTTGCACAAGTAATTGTGTGTGCAGTGTTTGCCCTGGAGGGAATTACCGCAGGGAGAGGTAGTAAGTTGTGCGGTTAACCACTCCTGTCTGATGGTATTGACAACCTTGTTTCTTTATGGTGTTCACAGTTACATTGTTGTATGTAATTGCCTGTTTGTAGCTACATAAGCAGAGCTGCGCTTGTGGTGTCCCGTTTTCGTTAACTAATTGTTCTTGTATTGAAAATATGCTATGATTCCTTTTATTTATTTATTTATTTATTTTTTATTTATTTATTTACAATTTGAGCACACATACAGAGGTACAAAAAAATACAGATAAGAGTAGCATGCCAAAGCCACTTATACTATGCATAGCATTACGGGCTGGCTTAAAATTAACTTAAGATTAACTAAGCAATGATGAAATCAGTGATAAAACATTAATGTAAACAGATTACTATAAAGCACAAGTGAGTATTACAAAGACAGGTCATATGGTTGCATGCATTGTTGTACATTCAGTAGAATGGAGTATTCTGTTAGGTAGTGACTCGTGGGTCCCAGACTTTTCAAACACTTTTTTTTTTTATCTGCCCTCATCATTTTCTTTTGGCATACTCAAGCAGCCCGTTTTTATTTGCCTTATTACGTCTGGTATACTCAATCTGTTCTTATTTGCCTTTCTGTCTTTTGGTACACTGCATGTCATTTTTGCACTCTATCTTTGACAGAGTTGCCTGGCTCATTTCTCAGGTATAGTAGCTATTTTGATTACAAGCTGCTGAACGTGGTAATTCAAATCAAGATTCACCGTGCTGCTGCATATTTTGAGAGGGCTTAGTGTACGGGGCCCAATAGGATTTTTCGTTGAAGCTCCTGTGGGGTGTTCAGATTAGATTTTGCCACCGAAGTGGCTAGTTTATTGTGTTCAAAGATTCGTTAGACACATGTATACCGCCAAAGTTACATAGCTGATGTGTTCTTCTGGCTACATGTTCTTCTGGCTGCATGTTCTTCTGGTTACATGTTCTTCTGGCTGCATGTTCGGGCTCTTTCGATGATACTGCAGGTATTTTTCCTATTTTACTTTCCTTCTTCGGTCATGCCTCTCGTTTCCTAATGTGTGTGACGTTGCACTTGTTTGGATGAAAATCGAATAGGCACTTGTTTGACCACCCCTGAAACTTTTTTTGTTCTTGGTCGCCCTAGTGGAAGTCTGATTCTGATTTGTTCAGATTCATTTCAATAGTTTTGCATCTCGAAAAAAGAAAAGCATAGTATTTTCTCTCTTCTGGGAGGACATTTAAAGATAGTTTTGGGTTGCTCAAGCTCGATTCGTTTATAATTCAGGGTATCGTGCACAGTCTAAAACCTGATTCTTATATGAATGCCATGGATTATTTTAGGTGTCAGGGTTCCACGAATAGGAATTAAAGCTGGGATTGCTCTTCCTGGTGAGGCTCGACCTTTAGTCTACCCATTAGGTGAGTTTGCCCTTGACTCGTTTTTCTTAATTGTTGTGGAATTTTCACTATGACAAATGCCAGACAGAGCTTTATTCAGAATGTAGTGTCCTTTATGTTTCTGAAGTCCGACTAATAATTCTAATAACCATTATGTTACAAATGTTAATTTCGCTAGTTAACCACTCCATTACCTTTGCTTGTGGGCTGACTATCCTCGGTTCCTATAGTGCTTAATCTTCTTGGCACTGGGCACTCGTGTGCCTGGCTGTAGAACGTTTCCTGCCTCCATTACCCTCAATCTTAGCAAAGCGTCACTCGGAAAGAATTTACTAAGATTTTCTTACTCATTTGTGCAACTGGGCAAGCTCCTGATGGTGTTGATTGCAATACGAAAGGCCTAGAACTGTGGTTGTTTTGCACTCTGTGTTGCTTGTTCACGATTCTTGCATATCATTTGTATATATTTAGAATATCGATCTTTGGATAACTCCTATTTTTTTTTCACCCACTCTGATTTTTCCATCATTACTGTTACGTCCGTTATATACTCACTGATCCTTTTGAAGACTTTTCATTGCATTCCTGTTTTTTTTTTCAATTTGTGGTCAGTCTCTCGTGTTATACTACTGTCTACAGAATGTTAACTAGGAAATATGAGTCCAGACCATAATTTTTAAAGGAGTGGACCGGTAAGCCAGGTGATGGACTCTGTTAGTTGACCCAAAACTTTATCTGTGGATAATCATGCGTCAGGAAATACTTATTCTTGTTTCCTGACAAACTTACTCAGCCTAATCTCTCTCGTGTTGTCCCCCATCAAATGGCTTACTGCAGTCCAGAAGAATGCAGTCGATCGACTCTCGTCTCTTACTTAATTACCGTTATCATAGAATTCCAGCAAGGCTGGACTTCCCATTATCGAGGCTGATTTTTTTTCCTCCTCTCTAAATGCATCACCAATCTCTTGCAGATTACCTTTTCCAGCACGTTGGAGAATATACTGTCAATTTCAGTGACAATGGTCTGTAATTGAGAGGTTCCTTATTTCCTTGTTTAGATGTAGGAATCACATTTTTCTAAGTGGGAAACCACAAATGTGGTTGCCAGAGTTTTCCTCCTTTTTTTCTTCCTGCATCTTTTTGTTTTTATTCATAACAAAAGGCCACATCCGATCGGCATCAATTTTTCAACGATGGTGAACAAGGCGGCGCTGGACAGCCACCTAAAGTCAATACATGATCAGCAGGGCTGTGGTTCGTACGTCGGTCTGCGTGCGGCCAACAGTAACAGCCTGGTTGAGCAGGCTCTGATCCACCATGAGGCCGGGTCACAGACCGGGCCGCGGGGGCATTGACCTCCCGAAACCCTCCCCAGGTATACTTCAGGTATATAAGCCAAAATTCTAGGAACAGTTGGTATGTGCAGGTGGTCTATGATAAAAAATTATTGAACTCATTGCCAGCATCCTGTAATGACTCTGACAACTTCCAAAATCCTCTGCAGCTCAGCTTCATTACAAAAGGTGACTCAAGACTTGATGCAGAAGAGTGAGATTCAGGCATGTTGATATACCTCTGCCAGTTTCATGCCTAGTGTGGAATTTTGATCCTTGTTAGATCACGTGTAATATCTTTAAGTATACCTGGCCCTCAAGGGAGGTTCCTAGGGGCTCTTGTTCTAGGGAATTGGATCTGTGCTCCAGTTCCCTGAATTGAGCCTGAATACCTTCCATCCCCCCCGCACATACGCTATATAATCCTATGGGTTTAGCGCTCCCCCATGATTATAATAATTAATTATACCTCTTCTGTACAGCTTAAATATTTAATAGCTGATGTATCTTATAGCCAGGATAGTATCCATTTATATAATTAATAACTTTTTTTTTGTTTATAAAATTTGGGATCGTTGGAATCTTTGTGGCAGCTGGAGAATGCCTCTCCTGATCGGATTCAAATTTTGAACCCTGATTTGTTTTAAATATAGCAAGATTCGCGTTGGTATTGGGCTGCAGTTTGCTAGTCTTATGATGTAAATAGTAAGATTTATTTCCATTCAATGACTAATGAAGCCTCATCTTGATGGCTTCAAAATATTAACGCTGATGCAGTTCCATAAGGAAAGACATTCTTAAGTTCCATTGTTTAGGTGGAAATTTGGAACTTTATTATTGCTAACAAGTTCTGGAATAGCTGGATTCTTAGCAGTTACTAGAGAATCTCTCTTCTGGTAGGCTTCTAACTTGCACCATTGAT